CCTGCACAGCCCCAGCCCTCCTGACATACGGCGGCCATGTAACATTTATGATATCCTGAACAAATCAAAGGAAAATGAGACTGGAGAGCCCACACGATCTCATGTCTGAAAGGCACGTTCAGGCTGATCAGGACTCATCAGGAGTTCCCACGGCAAGGAAGTGCTGCGTCTGTCTCTTCAGGGAAAGGACCAGGTCTGACCTGCTCACCACCAAAGGGACACTACCTCTGAATAATACTTTTTCCTGATGATAGAAGTTACCCTTTTTTGTTTTAAAATTTGTGATACCTGAAAAATTTAAAGAAAAATCACCCATCCTAAATAAATTTTGGCAATTTTCTGCCTGTCATTTTCCCAAGTATGAGAAACATATATCCTATATAATAAAAGGGTAACATGCAAATAGACTGAAAAGCAGAACAATTGAACAACCAATCAAAGTGTAATATGCTAATGACATGCTAAGGCTGCTCAACCGCTCGCTATGATGCACTGACCACCAGGGGGCAAACAGTCGACTGGTCGACTAGTCGCTATCATGTGCACTGATCACTAGAGGGCAGATGCTCCGACCAGTAGGCTAGGTGGCTGCTGGGGTCCAGCCAATCAGGACTGAGTAAGATGAGCCAGACATGCCCTGGCACCCTCCCACAGTCCCTCCCCAGCCCGATCGTGTACCAGTGGGGTCCCTCAGCCTGGCCGGTGCCCTCTCGCAATCCGGGACCCCTCGGGGGATGACAGAGACCCAGTTTCAGCCCGATCCCACAGACTACTGCCCTTGGGAGGGCGCCAGACGCAGGGCTCATGGCTGGTGAGTGCTGCTGTGGCAGCGTGAGCCTCTCCTGACTGGGACTGGTTGGGCGCGAGCCCGCGGCAGGCACAGTGGGGCTGGGATGAAAGGGGGCAGCAGGTAGGAGCTGCAGGCGGCGTTGGACTGCGGGGTTCAGCCCGATCCCTGCAGGCCACCCAGAGGGACCCCACCCATGCACGAATTCGCGCACCAGGCCTCTAGTCTATATGATAAACGCCTAAGTGACTGTCACAGCGGAACGACCAGAACGAACGGTCGCTATGATGCGCACTGACCACCAGGGGCTGATGCTCAACGCTAGAGCTTCCCCTGGTGGTCAGTGCACTCCCACAGGGGGAGCGCCGCTCAGCCAGAAGACAGGCTCATCTCCCTGAGGTGAGGGGGAAGGTTGGGGACTGTGCAGGCAGGGGGAGATGAGTGATTTTTCTTTTAAGTTTTTCAGGTGAGCGCAGCGGTGGTGGTGGTGAGAGCCTCTCCTGCCTGCACAGCAGTGCTAAGGAGCAGCAAGCCAAGCAAGAGAGGTAAGGAACAGTGAGCAACCAGGTGGTAAGGAGCGAGGGGTCCTGGACTGTGAGAGGGATTCCGGACTGCGGGAGGGCGCAGGCCGGGCTGAAAGACATCCCCCCCCCACAGTACACAAATTTCGTGCACCAGGCCTCTAGTATATATATGTTAATATTTCTCAAAACTTGGATCTGGCTACACACAAGCATGCAGTTTTGAATTGTGCCTTTTGTCACTCAATATTACAATTGAGGTTATATCTCTGTAAACTTTTGAAACTTCTCCAAGCATCATATTAATAGGTGCATAATAAATGCACTACCATCTACACTGTATTTAGTCATAATCAGAATTCAATCATTCTTGGATTCTGGGATATTATGGTTCATTTCCAATTCCAGCATCATAAATCCTGATAAAAATAATTACATTATACAAAATCCTTGTTGGTATATCTGGTTTTTACCCCTTAATATATACTACAAAGTCTCTGAGTCAGTTATACGAGAGACAGTTTAAACTTCTGAGAAAACCATTCAAATTATGAGAGTTTTTATTTTGGCTTTTATGTCTTCCTGTGTTGGCTGAATTTCTTACAATGAGCATTTGCTACTTTTAATAATCAGAATGAAGTTGTGTATATTCCTATTGAAATAAACCAAGATTTTGTCCAAAGAATCATAACTTCTTAGGAAGCCCCACATATGAGTCTAGCACCATCTCACCATTAAGAGCTAACCTGCCCTGGCCGGTTTGGCTCAGTGGACAGAGCATTGGCCTGCAGTCTGAAGGGTCCCGGGTTCAATTCTGATCAAGGACACATGCCCAGGTCGTGGGCTCGATCCCCAGGAGGGGGCATGTACGAGGCAGCCAACCCATGATTCTCTCTCATCATTGATGTTTCTCTCTCTCTCTCTCCCCCTCTCCCTTCCTCTCTGAAATCAATAAAAATATATTTAAAAAACAAAAAAGAACTGACCTATGGTCCTGGTCGGTGGCTCGGTAGTTAGAGCGTCAGCTCTCACACCAAAGGGTCTTGGGTTTGATTCCCAGCCAAGAGCACGGACTTGGGTTGTAGGTGTGACCCTCGACCCAGTTGTGGCGCAGAGGCAACCAATCCATGTGTCGCTCTCTCTCTCTCTCTCTCTTCCCCCTTCCCTCCATTCCATTCTCTCTAAAAATCATTGGAAAATATATCCTTGGATAAGAATTAACAACAGCCAAAACCGGTTTGGCTCAGTGGATGGAGCGTCGGCCTGTGGAGTAAAAGGTCCCAGGTTCGATTCCGGTCAAGGGCATGTACCTGGGTTGCGGGCACATTTCCAGTGGGAGGTGTGCAGGAGGCAGCTGATCGATGTTTCTCTCTCATCAATGTTTCTAACTCTCTTTCTCTCTCCTTTCCTCTCTGTAAAAAGTCAATAAAATATATTTTTAAAAAAAGAAAAAGAATTAACAACAAAAAAGAACTGACCTTACAGAGGAGTAAAAACGAATCTTGTTAAGCCCGGCCACCGAAGGACTCACCGTGAGCGCGCGCGTCGTGGCGGTGACCAGCTGGTGGGTCACGGCCGCAGTGACTCTGGACAGGTTGTTTTCCATGGTGACATCTGTGATGCTTGGCAGTAAGTTATAGCCTCTGTATATTCTGGTAAGAAAAGGGTGGAGACTTAAATGTATTCTTAGAGCTCACGGCATTTACAAAACTCAAATGGCATTTAGAAGTTTAAGATTAAAGGCTACAAGAAGTTAAAGCAGTCTTGGCTTTTAAGTTAAAGAAACTCTGGAAATAAGGTGGTCATCCTATTTAATAAAAGCCTGTGTCTGGTCGTCCAGTTAGCCATTCAACCAATCAAAGCGTAACATGCTGATGAGATGCTAAGGCTGCTCAACTGCTCGCTATGATGTGCACTGACCACCAGGGGGCAGAGAGTTGACCGGTCAACCAGTCGCTATGATGTGCACTGACCATCAGGGGGCAGACGCTCCAACCAGTAGGTTAACTTGCTGCTGGGGTCTGGCCAATCAGGATGGCACGAGACAGGCCGGACATGCCTGGAGCCCTTCCATGGTCCCTCCCCGGCTGACCAACCTTTTGTGTCCTTCCCCAATCGGTCCCTCGGCTTGGCCTGCTCCCTCTCGCAATCTGGGACGCCTAGAGGGATGTCAGAGAGCTGGTTTTGGCCCGATCCAGCAGGCCAGGCCGAGGGACCCCACTGGTGCACAAATTCGTGCACTGGGCCTCTAGTTATTCTATAAAAAATGGCTGAGCCCTGGCAGGTGCGGCTCAGTTGTTTGAAGCTTCGCCCCATACACCAAAAGGTGGCGGGTTCAACTCCCAGTCAGGACACACACCCAGATTGCAGGTTCCACCCCTGGTCGGGGACGCATACGGGAGGCAACTGATCGATGTGTGTCTCTCTCACATCAATGTTTCTCTCTCATCTCTTTTCTCTTTGTCTTTTTCTCTCTCTCTTTCTCTCCCCTCTCTCTCCCTCCCTTCCACTCTCTTTAAAAATCAATGGAAAAAATATCCTCAGGTGAGGATTACCAAAAAAATAAATAAAAATAAGTAAATAAATAGCCCACTCATATAAAAATTAATGGGCATAGGCAAGACAAACAAAGTGAAACATTCCACGGACACGTTTTAGATAAGACAGCATCAGGGTCCTACAGAGGAATACACTTAGTACGCGGCTCGTACTGAACTAAAGTTTACGGTGTCACTTCTGTGTGACTCGGCAGAGCTTAAGGAGGCGGGAGCTAAATCCTGAAAAAGAACAAATACTATCAAAGGAAGATGATTTGCTGAAACACCTGCACCTAAACATTTTGGGGTTTTTGTCCTAGAAAATCCAGTTTAGATGAGGAAAGGGCGCTTTCCCAACGGGCTTGGTCGCGTACCTGGTTATGGTGCTGACGGAGAAGTGGGAGGCGGGCTGCGCCTCGTGCATGAGAAGCTTCAGGTACACACTGCTCTGGTCTCTGGCCATGGCCACGACGGGGTCCGCCTGCCCTTGGTCGCACTTATAGAACAGCTTGGGGACTAGCCTAACCGGAAAGCAAGGTGTTCACTGGAGGAAGCATGGACACCCGCCCGCAGCTCCCCACCCGTCAGGTGGCAGGCCTCCATCACCGTCCGCCCGCGAAGCCCACTGCACTTTCCAGGCGTGTGTCCTTTAGCATGTTGGGGGTCTCCAATCACAGGCCACCCCTCGCCAAGCTACGCTGAGCCCAAAGGCAGAATCCGGGGGACTCTCCCAGCGGAGCAGGGGTCTCCTTCCCGCACCCACGTGCGGAGCGTTTTGTGGGTTTGTGTGAGTGCGTGGACTCCCACACTGGCAGGAGGGGTGCGGAACTTTCAGAAACAATCACTATTTTACTTGCAAAACCCTGTATCTTTCCTCTATGGAGACTTGGTCATTAAGCACAATTCTTCAAGGTATAAAATTGCAATCGTTTTCAGAAAATGATAAAGATCCAAAATCTTTGACCAGGCAAGTCATACAAACCCCGTGAAGCCAGTGAAAAGCTACACCACACAGGGCATCACGAAATGCAAATGCCAGCTCTGCAAGCGGAAAGATGTCACCAAATTTAACTGGTTTTCTTTGAGTGGTTTGATTACAAGAATTTTTATTTACTTTTTTATATTTTCCTTAGATTTTGTTGAGTAAACGTGTTATTTTTAAAAAGAAATACCAATTTCTTCCTAAACAACTGACACGTTTAACTTGTCTGGAATATGTTTGGTGAGAACTAGGCACAACCACAGTCCGCATGGGAGTTTGACGGGCCTGTTGCAGAGAGCACCCACCCGCAGAAGCCCACCGCCAGGGCCCACCCAGGAGAATGAAAACTAAGTCCACACAAAGCCTCGCGGGCAGATGCTCACGGCAACATGACTCATCGTCACCAAAAAGGGGAAATAACAATGACCACCCCCTGGTGAGCGAGTGAACAGAACACTAGGTCCCTGTGCGGCTGCCCCTCAAACCCAAGGGAGAGGCGCCAGGGCAGCAGCCCGCCTGTCGCTCGGCCCGTTGATGGAAACAGCCCAAGAGGCCCCCTCCGGAGGCAGGACGCAGGCTCCTGGCTGCCCGGCTGCGGTGGGAATGGGGAGCTTGCAAATGGGCACGAGGGATCCCTGCAGGCCACGGAAATGTCCCAAACTGGACGGTGGTGATGGCTACACAGTCCGGAAATGAACTGAAGATCTTTCCGTTGGACGTTTAAGATGCGTGTACTGCAAGGCATGTCAATTACACCTCAAAACGCTATTAGAAAAAATTTAAGGACATCCCAAAGCTTGGCCTTAGTAACTCAACTTCCAAAAATTATGCAGTTTGTGTGGCAATGCTGACTGGAAGGAACACCGCTCATTATTTAAATGGAAGACAGCTCCACCCTGGCTGGTGTTGCTCCGACACCAAAAGGTCACACACCCAGGTCGTGGGTGTGATTACCGGCTGGGATTCAGGCGGAGGCAACTGATTGATATTTCTTTCTCTCCCTCTCCCTCTCCCTCTCTCCTTTCCTCTCTCTAAACAAAACAAAACAAAAAAATCAATTGAAAAGAGAAAGATAACTTTAATATCCAACTAAATAATACTTATATAAAGGCTTATCCCAATCTCATAGTGAAACCTGGCCCCAGTTAAAACTTCTCTTCTAGAAGAATATCTGATAACAGGAAATTGCTAATGTTTAAGTGGAAATTACTAGATTACAAAGCTCTATATATTTTGTTCCAATTACAGAGCAAAATGTTAACAGCGATCATCTTTAAGTGGCAGAACTGACGGTGATTTTCACTTCCTTCCTAGTGCCATTCCCTATGTGCAAAGACTCGGGAGTGCAACTTGGCCTCGGGGGTCAGTGTCCTGCGGTGCCGATGGCGCTTTGGGCTCGTGGCAGTGAGTAACTTCTTCCCTGATAACTGAGGCGCAGCTGGAAGTGACTGCGAAAGATGCAGGGATACTGCCTCTGGCCCAGAATGTTCCCCGGTCCCCTCACAACATCGGTGCTTTCGCCAGAAAAGTAACCGAAGAGAAAAGGCGCTGGCAAATACCTCACTAGCGACGCGGCGGCCACGTGTCGCACTCTGGGGTCTTCATCCCCCAGCAGGTGGAGGACCACGCTGTGGAGCACCCGCTCTTGCAGCTTCAAAAGCTTTGAGAGAGAAAAGAGACCGGCTGAGTCCCGAGGTTTCGGTCAGCGGCTGGGGAAGGCGGTGAGGAAGAGCTCGCGGTCAGCAGCCCGGGCACCATGCACCCGCACTCCCCGCGGGACCGTGCTTACCCCTGTGTAATGGTGCGCCCCTCTGTGCAGGTGTTCTGCTTTTGCTTCCAAAAAGCTCACCAACCTGACGAAGGAAATGTTTCACGGTGAGCACCCATCCCTCCACAAGCACCTCTGGCGGCGGCGGGACGCAGAGGCGGGGAGCCGGAAGCACCCACTAAATGGTGTCACAACCTCTCCTAATTCCAGACTCCGCCCATCAGATGTGCTGAGAAAATGCTTCTCTTCAAAAGCAACACGAGCGTGCATTATTTTAAGATTCCAGGGCCTGCAGAGTTAGCTCAAATGTGGGGACTGTGGGCAGGGGCTGCACCTCCCGCCCACTGGCCGCGGCCAGCAGGTGCTCACGCCCAGGCTCTGGCCCCTCTGAGGGGTACAGGAGAGACAACCCCTAATTCTCAGAGATGTTCTGAGGATGCAGCAAACGCCCACAGAGGGCGGCCAGCACGCGCCTGGCACAGACCAGCCTCTAGGCCAGCGGTTCTCAACCTGTGGGTTGCGACCCCTTTGGCGGTCAAATGACCCTTTCACAGGGGTCGCCTAAGACCATCCTGCATATCAGATATTTACATGACGATTCATCACAGTAGCAACATGACAGTGATGAAGTAGCAATGAAAATAATCTTATGGTTGGATCCCAACATGAGGAGCTGTATTTAAAGAGCCAGAAGGTTGAGAACCACTGCTCCAGACGGTGCTTAAAAAGTCCCTGGTAAGAAAAGAAACATTCTCTCTGGCAGAAAACCCACACTCCTCCGGGACGCGAGAAAGTGCAGCCCATCTGATCAAGTTCACGCTCCACACCAAGCAGCCATACGACCCAAGTCTGGGGCAGTGGTGAGCACGCTCTACGGACCAGACTGACCCAGCTCTGGCGGGAAGTGACCCTTCCCCTCCATCAGAGACCCCGGCACTGCACTCGGCTACGCGGAGGGTCTGAGCGGAGGGTCTGAGCGGGGCCGAGCGCAGACGGAGCAGAGCGCTGTCAGCTCTAAGCCCTCAGTTTCTGCCGCACAGGTGACCGGCCTTGCTCACTGCAGGGCTGACCTGGTGACTCCAAACCCAGGAGTTACCTGATGATCCTCACCACCCACTTCCCTGGTGACTGGACACCAGGTTAGCTAGAGACGCTCACTATCTGGGGCTGGTAACCACCACCACCTGCACCAAAGGCCCCGCCTTTGGAGGCCCGCGCCCTGCGAGGCCTGCTGCGCGCACCTGAAGTCCATCTCTGCGAGTGTCTCCAGCAGCTCCGTCCTCACCAGCCAGTAGGAGCTGCTCCTCAGGCTCAGCACGTCGGTGATCAGCTGCAGCCCCAGGTCGCTGTAGCTGCTGCTACAGAGGCTCATGACACAGTGCTGGAGAGCAAGGCCGCGTGACAGTGTCAGAAGCGCCACACACTGGCACACACTGGTCCCTGTGCACATCACGTGCACAGACCAGTACACACACATCACGTGCACACACTGGTCCCCGTGCACATCACGTGCACAGACCAGTACACACACATCACGTGCACACACTGATGTGCACACACTGGTCCCCGTGCACATCACGTGCACAGACCAGTACACACACATCACGTGCACGCACTGGTCCCCGTGCACATCTCACGCACACACCAGTCAACACGCACATCACGCACACATACTGGTCCATGTGCACATCACGCACACGCCCTGGTCCACATGCACATCACGTGCACACACTGGTCCCTGTGCACAGCACGTGCACAGACCAGTACACACACAGCCCGTGCACACACTGGTCCCCGCGCACATCACACGCACACACCAGTCAACACGCACATCACGCACACATACTGGTCCATGTGCACATCACGCACACGCCCTGGTCCACATGCACATCACGTGCACACACTGGTCCCTGTGCACATCACGTGCACACACTGGTCCCCGTGCACATCACACGCACACACCAGTCAACACGCACATCACGCACACACACTGGTCCATGTGCACATCACACACACACTGGTCCACGTGCACATCACTCACCCATACTGGTCTACGTGCGCATCACGTGCACACACTGGTCCACGTGCACATCACCCGCACACATACTAGTCAATGTGCATATCATGCACACACACACTGGTCCACGTGCACATCACTCACCCACACTGGCCCATGTGCACATCACTCACCCACACTGGTCCATGTGCACATCACGCACACACCCTGGTCCACATGCACATCACGTGCACACACTGGTCCACGTGCACATCACCCGCACACACACTAGTCAATGTGCACATCATGCACACACACTGGTCCATGTGCACATCACACACACACTGGTCCACGTGCACATCACTCACCCACACTGGCCCATGTGCACATCACTCGCACACACTGGTCCATGTGCACATCACACACACACTGGTCCACGTGCACATCACTCACCCATACTGGCCCATGTGCACATCACGAGTACACACTCGTTCATGTGCACATCACGTGCACACACTGGTCCCCGTGCACATCACTCACCCACGCTGGTCCATGTGCAACTCACTTGCACACAATGGTCCACGTGCACCTCACACACACACTGGTCCATGTGCACCTCAGTTGCACACACTCATCCACGTGCAACTCACTCGCACACAATGGTCCACGTGCACCTCGCACACACACACTGCTCCACGTGCTCAGAGACATTTGCGATACATGCTTTACTTCAGCAAACTTGCGTTTCGAAGCGTGTCCCTGTCACATAACTTAGTTTTCCTTTTCCTCCCATTTCTGCCTCGGTCACGGCCTCTCCCATGCTGTGAACACGCATCAGCAGCACAAGGAATGGCACCGTCACCCGCCACTTCCCACACATCTGAGGCCCAGGGCCAGCCTGCCCCTGATGCTACCCGATGTCCCTGCGCACCTCACAGTGCGGCTGGTGAAGGGCGGGGGGGACTATGACCAGGGCGAAAAGGCTGCACAGCTGCCAGGCCAAGGACGGGGCCGCCACTTGTCACGGACAGAGGTGACTAACGCCTCCAGCCTCACTCTAACTGTGTGTCCGACGGCCTCAACGAGTTGTCATTTTTAACTCAACAGCTTTGCCACTTATGTGAGCGAGATCTTTTTCTAAACACGCTCTTAGGAAAAAGGTATATTTCAAACCAGCTAACCCCATGAGAATATTCTGAGAACCAGAGCTTTTAAAACAGTCCATTAAACCGTAAGTTTATCGGCAACGGTTTATCCCTAAAGCAAAGCGATGGATACACAGACGTTTATTCTTGTTGGCAACAGTGCATGCTGGGACACGTGCCATCTTAACTGTACTAGTGGTAAGGTTCCCAACGCGCACAGGGGTCCACAGCGCTCACCCGCACGGCTGTACACGCCAACTTGCAAGTAACGGATGACTCATCCTTCAGCGTTTTCCGCAGCAAAGGAACGCAGTCCACCAGAGAAAACGTGTTTCCTGAACAGAGCAAGCCACAAATGCCTGCGTGTGAACTTGAACTTGGCAATGACACCCAGAGGGCAACCCTCAGAAACTGGCCGCTACCTGTGCGAGCTCGAACGGAGCCCAGCCAGTCCCCCACCTGGAAGCGGGACCTGCTGAGGATGGAGCAGACGAGAGTCCCGCAGAGGATGGCCGTGGCTCCGCGCACCTGCGGGTCTCCGTGATCGATGTAGCTGAGGACGTCCGAGACGTACTGCTCCTCTGCGGGGACAAACCCCAGCCACGTGAAAGTCCACTTCAACTTCCCAGGAAAGACAACAAGGGGCGGGCGACCCACCCAGACAAGGCCTGACGAGGGTAACATGCGGGCAGCGTGTTTAGGTGTGAAAATTCTACATTCAAGGTAGCAGTCAACACAACCGGTTAGAACTCCGGTTGTCAGCCAATAAGCAAAATTCTAATTTCCTTCACGAAAGGTGAGAAAAACTCAAACGAGTCCACAGTTACCTCACGTGAATTCAAAGGCACAGGTCTGTCCCCGCGCCAGAGAGCGAGCCAGGGAAGCGAGAGGAGCGCGTCAGAGAGCACTCTTCCCACCATCACTCCGCAACGAGCGCGTCCCGGAGCGCGGACCCGGGCAGCGGGGCCTCGGCCGCTCTCAGCCCGCATGTCTGAGTGTGCTATAAATTCTGATTACAGGCTGACCTGGGCTTTCGGTAAAAATCTACACCATCAACTAGATCGTACGTGCCCAGACCCTACTGTGCTGCTGTGTGCATTCCCACTGAGCGCCGCGAGGAAGGCTCTGAGCCTGCGGTGTGTGCTGAGTGGACAGCCCCTCACGGACGGAAGCCCGCGAACG